TTATGATCTTATCAAACTCTTCTTGCTCTCTCAAGTAACTTCTCTTCCCTCTTCTATCATTCACTTCCTTAGTGATGTTAAAGTCACCTACAATCACCCAAGCACATGTCAAAGAAGACATGACAAAGAAGACCTGCCAAAAAATAACCCACTCATCATGTATTAGGTCTATATATGGAAGAAATGGACTGCTCAAATCCATCACTTCTACTTTTTAATATCACTGTCAAAGTATAAACATCAACCACTTCTCTTATTTTTCGCCACTTATTATCAGCCCACCCAATCAACACTCCACCTGAGGCTTCATTAGCATGCAGAATACTTCATTCAGTATACATATTACCTCATATTTTTCGTAACATAATATTATTCACAACTTCTAACTTTATTTTTTGGAAACATACGATATCAACTTTATTTAAATAATAGAATTCTGTCACTCCAACTTTTCTGCTATCTTCTTCCAACCACCTAACATTCCAGGGTATAAAATTCCATCACTTTTACTTTTTAATATCACCGTCAAAGTATAAACATCAACCACTTCTCTTATTTTCCGCCCTTATTATCAGCCCACCCAATCAACACTCCTGAGGCTCCTTTAGCATGCAGAATACTCCATTCAGTATACATATTACCTCATTTTTTCCGTAACATAATATTATTTCACAACTTCCACTTTATTTCTTGGAAACATACAATATCAATTTTTTGTAAACTATAGAATTCCCCTCCAAATTTTTTGCTATCTTCCTCCAACCCCCTAACATTCTAGGGTACAAATTATCATGATTAAAAACAATATAAAACCCTCATTCATCGACTACACTCAAGCCAAATGAGCCCTCTCTCTCTCTCTCTAATTTCCTAATATGCTCTATTAGATTAAAACCTTCTTTTTCATGAAAAATCAAAACACATTGAGCTGAAAAATTACTAATATGTTCATCACTTAAGCCATCAAACAAGACAGGAATAAAAGAAGAGCCTAGAGAAGAATTTGTACTAGTAGTAGTAGTCACCTTGGATGAAGTACTTGAAGTAGAAATCCTTTTGTCAAGCAGATTAAGTCTGGCTAAAGCTTTATCAGCAACATGGATATGATGAGTATTTTGCAGTCTCGTGTTCCTCCTTAACCTGACAACTTCTTGATTGTTCTGGTTTGTAGTGTCACCTATCACCTTACTAAAATGTTGATTATCATCAACAACTACCATAGCAGTAAGCTTCACATTAAGAACCATTTCACCATTTTTATATTCATCCAATCTGACCTCTTCCACCAAAGTCTCCTTCCCATCATCAAATTTATCACAAACAATTAAAGTCCAAAAGTCTTTCCCCATAATGTTAATATCCTCCATCCTTTTATCATTTTCATCTGGAGACAAATCTACATGAGGCACTGTTTTAAATATCGGCCGATAATCGATATTATCGGCCAAGTTATCGGATTTGGGAGCTCTCCGTTAGGATAAATTGAATTTTTAATCGGTTATCGTTTTTTTAGGTTTATCGGCGATTTATCAGCGTTATCGGCACTTATCGACCGATAAGTAAGACTTTTTTATCGGGATTATCGGGATTATCGGCCAATTTTGACTAACATTATATTTTTTTCAAGGCTATGATGCAAGTTTCGCTTTCTACAATTGGTTAATGATTCTAAACATGATGATTTACATTTTGGTATGTTTATATTTCATTAAGCATGATTAGATTATATTTTTTAATTGTTATATTATATATACACATCATCCAATATATCACTCCGATAAATACTACTTATCCCCGATATATCCCCGATTTTCGCTATCCGATAAGGATTTTGGCCGTCCGATAAATCCCCGATAACCGATATTTAAAACCTTGACATGAGGTGCATAATCATCAGATTTTTGAGTATTGCCTTCCTCACCCAAGTCCCTCACAGCTTCTTCAATTTTATCCTCCTCCATCTTTATCTTGTTGAGGCAACACATGCTCATCAACAGATTTTGATTCTTCAACATCTTTCTCTTGCTCTTAACTTCTTATAACTTCTACTCTCTCCTTCCTCATCTTGTTGCACCTTCTTTTCATAATTAGCAACAAAACTCTCAATGGTAGAACTTTTACTATGATTATCAATCTGCCTCCATAACTTGTAAGCATCAGGACGCAATAGTTGTTGTCTACTTGTCTGTAATTATTTTCATTTTTCATTCACCCCCATTATTGCCACCCTTTTTTGATCTCTCAGATTCATGATGCACACCTTAGAATTTCTACTAGAATCATTACCCAACATTGCCATGATTTTTCATCAATATTCTTTCAGCCTTACCTTTATTATCATCACTTTTTCGCACCACTATTATATAACACTGAAATGATTTCAACTAAAATAATATAAATGTGATCTTCAAAGTAAATTTTCAATTGTAAAAGAATATCAGTAGGATTCACACATTTAACCAACATGATGGCTTCAATCATTTCATTTTTTTGGTGGATTCATCTATAGTTCTAGGAGATCAACATAAGGTTTTAAAGCTTATTAAGAAATCCCAATTCAATAAATGAGGTGGAACCCCTCTAAGTTTATCTACACTTTAACATCTCAATATTCAGTTATTTCTCCATCTTTTAGTGACCACTATTTCACATTCAATTTATATTCACCAATCGAAATAGTACCAAGTCTAATCACAGCATTTAACCTTTCAAACTCAGCCATCTTAACAAGAGATTTATTATTAGGTGAGATCTTATGTCCCACTCAGATGCACTTGAGATATGAGATAGTATCATTCTTTAAATTTCTAGCAGAGATATTTTTGCCATCATTCACAGAAAACACAATATAATTGGCAGATCTATGACATTTAGCATCTAAGAACTCAGATGAACCAAGAACAGTTGAAGCCATATGAATTTTATTCTCTTGCCATATAGGCTTACTTTCTTCTTGAACAAAATGGACCGTATCATCAAAGTTTACAATGATTTGAGATTTACCTTTATTCCACTGTTCCTCTGTAAATTTTTGACCATGGCTCTTGTCAAAATTACTAACAAACATAGGATTTGCAGCAAACCTAGGATCCCCAACTATTGCATTTTCCCTTCCAGCAAATCTAGAGTTTCTGAATCTACCTGTTCCTTTAGGGATTTGAAACCCTCATCCTTGATGTCAAAGGATCCCATTGTTGTCGTCCTTGAAAATGTTGTTGAAATCGATCTTGTTGTTGAGCACGTTTAGGTGATCGAGATCGATGTCGCTCTCCTCCCTCATCTTGAGCTCTTAGTCTACAATCTTTCGCTTCATGGCCGCTTTCTCTGAAGTAGAAGTAATGCCAAGATCCACCGCAAGAACTCCGCATGTGACGACCCAATCCATAGTGAAAGCACGGTAGACACTGACAAACTTCTTCAATTGAAAGAGGGGGCTTAGGGTTTTGTTTCGTAGAAACCCTAACCCAATTTTTATTCTCACCGTCTTCGATCAAATTTTCCTACGATCTACAAGAAGCATGAGAACCAACTACTCCTTCAATTTTACAGTCGAATATCTATTCAATTTTCCCTTTTCTATTGAGTCTCGAGATCCACGTTCCATATTGGAATTTGGATTTCAAATTTGGAGATGTTTTCCTTATTGGGCTCAGAATGATCATTAGAGGGCGGATTATAGCTCAACGAATTTAGATCAGAAACCCTAATATTATGATTAACGCCAAAAAATCTATGTTTTGGGTGATGAACTAAAATCTCAGGAAAAAGAGATAAAGACCATTGAAAGTTGGAGGTTTTTGAGAACCTCAAAAGTTAAAGAGAGTTTCGTGACATTTTAAAAGTTAAGGAGACTTATCTGAGAAACCCCAAACGTAAGAGGTTTCATGGTTCTCCTTGACCAAAGTGGGGTCAAAAGTAAAGGAGTGTTTCATGACATTTTAAAAGTTAAGGAGAGTTATTGGAGAAACCCCAAAGTTAAGAGGGTTCTTGGTTCTTGACCTAAGTGGGGTCGCATGACCCCACATTGGTCAAGATGGATCTGCCTATGCCCATGAATAAATAATTCCTTTTTTTAATTAAAGAGAAAGTGCAGTTCACTAGATAGACTACTAGAAAGTCCCCTTTTTTGTTCCAACTTGGGTTATCTGTAGTTGTTTCTATGGTACCAGGGAGTTCTACTAGCTCTAATTTCTATAGATGAACATCTCACTAGATTGGTTAGAAAAAATTGCAGTTGCTGACGTGGGTTTGCTTGTCAACATGATCAAGGTGCCATGAAGCTCCTTGCTTTTACTTACCTATAACTAGATGTTATCAGTTGAATTGTATGTCAATTCTAGCAATACTTAGCACATCAAAAGCTGCATTCTCTTGACTGCTTATCCAGCTGCATGCGACCAGATGCATTCGGGATGTTTATTTGGGTTCTTAAAATTCTTCTATTATTCATTGCCTATTAGTTAAGATATCGTGCACTAGCACATTTAGATGTGCATGCTGTTGAAATTTGACTAATACTACTGTAAATTGCCATTCTTTATACTTTTGTCAAATTTGAGTTGTATCTTCCTCACTTAGAATTATTGACAATCAGGCATTGCAATGTAAGATACTTGTGCATGAGTTTTTACCGAGTGTTGCTCATTCTAGACACTTCATCCTAGAACAGCTGAGGCCTTACAGGAACGAAACTGAGCATCGATATGTTTTTCCATGTTTTCTTGCTTGATTTTCTTTTCGTAGCTCGAATAACCTCATGGGAACTCCAATTTAAGCAGTTAGGTATGTGTGTATAATATATATAAATTAATTCATGAATTGTTTATTATTCTTTTTTGAAGCAAAGAATACCTAGATATATAAATTGCTTATATGTATGCGACTTTTGTGGGCTTTTCACCTTGGAGATCATTGCTAAGGTGTTCTTTTGTATGTCTAGGGTTGTACATTATGAATGTGATATCTTACGTTATCTAACCTGTGAACTTTATTTCAAACAGCTTCTTCTTCAATGTGCAGAACAATTGCCCCACAAGGTTCCTTTTTATGGAGTACTGGTATGACATTTTATATCTTGCTCTTTCATACCTCTAGCATATTTAGCTTTCTGTCGACTTCTAAGAATATGCAGCCTTATTGATCTTTGTGTTCATATTACATACAGATGAATGATGGTGTTGTCATTTTCATGCTAAGGGTCAAGGACTTCCTGCATTGCACACTAGCTCTCATATAATTTAAGTTTTGCATGCATAAAGTCTTCATTTTCCGTTCTGTATGTTTGTAAGAATTAGTGTTGCCATAACATGACCAATGGAGGGTTGTAGATACTTTGCATTTTAAAAGATATATAATACATATACATCATGGCTGTGGCAATGAGATATTATGTGCATACATGATGATATAATAAGTGCTGCAATATTTGAACATAACAAGGGAAAAGTTAACATCATTGGGGAGTAAATGTTCCATGAACTGGGACAGTGCCATCATTCATCTGTATGCAAATATAATTTTTTAACAAGGGGAGTAAACATGGTAATTTAACATTAAATTAAAAAATAAGAATTTTAAGGTGAAAGTTAACAAATGTTATGAGAATTATTGCGTGTTAAGATTGCTTAATCTATATTGCTGGCTGTATATCCTTAAGCTGAAGCTTTGGGTTCAGTGGTCACTTGAGGATGTATAATCTTAATTATTTGCATTCTCCTTCAGCTAGAATTAGCTATACCTTTTCGCATAAGTTAACTTTGTTATATTTAATGTGGAGCGATTCCAAGGGTCCCATTGGAAACTAGCCCCTGTCTGTCTAGTTATTCATAATTCGCAACTTTATTAGGTCTTATCTTCCTTGCTTATGTATTTGTCTATCTCTGTACTTTACACCTGCAGGTTGGTTTAATTAATTTGGAGAATGAGAACTTTGCTAAAAAAATTGCAGATTCTACCCATTCAAGGTTCCAGGTAGGATGTTGCATCTTAGTATGTCTTTACTTTGTCAGTACTTGTACTTTATTCAGTGTAATATTTGAAGTTGCCATTCTTTTTAAGAGAACATATCACTTTATAATATCTTATGCTTTCATTTCGACAAGTATTTATAGTTCAATATAGGGTTTTTTTCCCCTAGAAACCACCTTAAAAATAGGGTAATTATACGGAAACCAACTTTCACTTTCAATTTATACATAAACCACTTTTAAAGTGGGTTTGTGTTGCAATCAACCACCTCCTAGTCAAGGTTTTTACTGAAAACCCAAAATTACCCTTAAAAAACTCACATTCAAGGCACATCACTTATTTTTTAGTGTTTAGATCTTGTTAGAATGCAACTTGTGCACCTTGAACTTGAAATTTTTAACCTTATTTTTTATTTTTTAGTGAAAAATTGAGTGGGAGGTGGTTGATTGCAACAAAAACCTACTCTAAAGGTGTATAAATTGAAATTAGTTTCTGTATAATTACCCTATTTTTAATGTGGTTTCTTGGTGGGGGACCCTTCAATGTGTATGTTGTCTCATCTTTATTGAATTATCTAAATGAGCTTGATATTTGTTAAAGCTTTGTCGGTTTAAGTTATTGAAGGAGCCTGAACAAGCTTTAATCGGGTCCAAGATGATTACGAGCCTAAGGGTCAGGGACTGTATGAAACCAGAATATTTGACGTGGCTGAGAGCTTATGTATTTCTTTTTTGTTAATAAATTATTCTTCATGTTATTTGAGTGTACAATAAGTAAAAAAGATTGTTTCTCTGAAAGCATTAGCGCACTCTACTTTTGAAGATTTATATATAAATAAACTATTTGTTTGATATCCGCCCATTAGCAGACTTCTTTTGACTATTTTAAATTCTTAATCAAGCTCGACCTCAAGCCAAGTCATGTTTAGTGTTACTTGAGCTTGTTCATGGTTGAAACAAGTTTATAATTATGTTGGAGGGGCGCTGATTTATGGGATGAATCTGAGCAAGACATAAGCCAATCATGAGCTGACATCATGTGCCCATTTAACCTCCTAGATTTTTAATCTGGCAATATTTACCATATACTGGGAAATCAGTAAACATGGTCCCATGTACAGGGTTATACAAATAAATCATTAAAATATAGGGTCATCCGCTTGTTTAAAATTCTCTTAATGGTTGCTCAGGTTTTTCTTTTCCTTTAAGAGCATGGGTCCTACGTGAAGCCCTTTATTCCAAATTTCCAATCTTTCTTGAATTTTTCGTACAAAAGAAAATCGGTGGCTCTCCCTGTTTATATAACTAACATACATCGAGACCTAAAAGACAACATGATGATTAAAGCTGAATAAAAGAATGTTTTGTTTGGTAGCTGTTATTTCTTGATTATATTTTTGACAACTTAGAAATAAATTTTGGCCTTTGTACTGATGTCTCTGTTTTGTTCAATTTTCAGGATGCATTGTATTCTGGAAATTGTAAAAGGGTTCGCATATTGTTACGGTTTCTAACTGTGCTGGTGAGTTTGTGCAAAGGAAGCAGTCATTATTATTATTTATTTAGTTTTCAACAGTTATTGCATGCTTTATGACAATTTGAACTCTTATGCTTCTCTTTCGTCATATAAGTATGTTTTTCTTCTTCAACATTGGTCTTCGTCTGATTTGCAGCTATGATGCAATTATGAAAGAAGGTTGTTTATTTCAATAGTATCTTTTCTCTTGTAGAAACTTGAAATCGTGGTGCCCTGATTCATTAATAATATCAAGTTGAGATATTGCATATGAATTTGGGCCAGTATCATTATTTAGGTCATATCCATCTTAATAGAGCCAGCTATGGAGGTCAATGCCACAAATCCCAATACTTTGGGATTTGAGCAAAGAGGCGCTTTCCATAAATCTCAATAGGCTGGATATGGAAGTGTGCCTCATCAGTCATACAGTTTATGCTCATGCATCCAAGGATTTGTAAGCTACTCAAATATCTCCTACATTAAGAAATGTCTAATATGGAAGAAAATGATATCTTGCTTTAGAGCATTAAGTTTCTTCTTGTAAGACATGTGAAACCAAGAAGTCAAAACTTAAAACACATTTTCTAGTATATTCATACTAGTGTGCACCCCGTGCAAAGCACAGCCACCTATTTTTTTAAGCACTGCATTTTGAACTTGCCTCCCTCTAAGTTTTAGTATATTTGATTTAATTATTGTATGCTTAAAATTAGAAATCATATCTATTCCTCTATACTTAAAGAAGGATCCAAATTTTAATACATTTGATTTAGAAATCATATCTACCCTAAATTTTAATACATTTGATTTGCTCTACTGTTTATAACACAACAAAAATACTGTAGCAACATTAAATTACTGTAGCATGAACAGAAGCGCAGAGGGCCATATTTGCCATATAGTCCATACTACATACTGTAGTATGGACAGTAACTCTTTGGATTCTCCTTCAAGTATAGAGGAGTAGATTTGGATTAAGATGATATATGTCCATCCTTATAACTAGTTTCAAGTTTGAATGAATGAAAGTTTCCTGATTTTAGACATTTAGTAATTTGTAAGTGACCAAATTCTATATTATTCCATTAATTAAACTAGGTAATGCTAACAGTGTTATTCTGGAAACACACTAGTCCTTTGAAAAGAAAGACCAAGGGCAACTGTACACCCTGTATTTGCACACCAAAATGCAGTGATCAAGAGTGAGTAGGACATATTTTTCCAAAGCAGAAAGAAAAACAAAAGAAACCTTAATGATTTACATATATCTAATTTCAATCAAAGAAAAATTTGAAAGTCTTGTCTGATGCCTGATATGAAACAAGTGTGCATTGATCTATAGTAATTGTTTATTTTGCATTCAGCTAGTGTCCAGACTATGTTAAAGGGTTATATTTATGTCTGTTTAAGCACTCGGAGATGAGGAATCTGGTCTATCCAACACATAAATCGTTAGAATTTTTAAAGCTGAAACAGATTTGGCACATGTTTTCTAGATTTCTTTAAAAACATGTTTTATGGGAATAAGCGATGACTCCAGCCCATCCGGAACATAAGGACTCATTTTGAAGAGTCTCTGCTTCCTAGAATATTCGAAATAGAGTATAATGTATAATTAATCCAAAAGATTTAATCCGTAAATGGGTTTTCAGTAGATGGACTGCGGTTTGTCAAGACATCCTGCAGGACATAAATAGATGGTGAGTTAGAGATAACATGTACACTATTCACCTTAAACAGCATAAAACTCTCTGATGCTAGATAAGGTATTAAATGCTCATATATATTGATTCATGGCTAAACTACTACTAGGAATTTATGTGATGCTTGTTATGTACCTGATTGATTGGTCAGGGGATCATAGTTCTCGGTGGAACCAAAAGACTTTGCCAATGAGGTCTCTGATATATCAGTTCGGCAGTGGACAAGCTCATGTGCAACTTGCATGAGATTACCTTAGTTATCAATGCATGAGTCCACTAGTGTTTGAAGGAAGGTTAACAATGAGTGTGTTGAGGCACTTGTTTTATACACATGGTTGCAGAAGCATTTGTTTATTCAAGAGCAGACGTCCTTATCTGGATATCTGTTTGTGTAGTTGTTTTACAGTTAACCTATTTATTTTGCTCTTTTGAGGGCCTTTATTTACTTGTTTAATCTTGTAGATAATTGTATTTAACATAAGTATTATGATAATACTACGCTTTTCCCCCTTAAATGTAAGCTTTTATTTTGCTGATACTTTTTATGTCTCCTTTTTCTTAATTACTTTAGGGGCTTTTGTAAGTACAATGGTCCATCATCAATTTTATTTCTTTTTTTTGGGTTCTTTTTGCAGATGTGCAGCAATGTTATCCTACCAGGTTCTTTAGTTGGAATATTTGAAACGCTGTTGTCTTCTGCTGCCACTACCATAGATGTGGATAATGGAAATCCTTCTTGGCAATCACGTGCTGACTTCTATGTTACTTGTATCCTGTCCTCTCTTCCATGGGGAGGTGCAGAGCTGGTTGAGGTGAGGTTCATGTGCAAAAGATAAAGGATATATTAGTTAATTTAGTTTGGTTCTTCTGTTGAGATTTTTGAAATTTCATGCTTCTGTTCCTAGGTGCATGCAGAAATAGCCTTTAATTGCTTAAGCTTTTGTTGCCTGGAAAAACATAAATTTTGGTGAGCTTAGATGTTCTTTCTTACCTACAACATCAGAAGGTGTTGTAGACCGTATTGTTATTAGTTGTCATACTACTGACACCTAACTTCATTTTAGGTTCATGACACCAATATGATCTATTGGTTTGCAAAAACCTTTTAGTGTTGCAGAGCTAATCAGCTAGTATGTAATTGCTTGTGCTTGGTCCTTTAGGAGTGGGAGAAAAGCTACTGCACTTCTAGATTTTTCTTGACATGGCATAATCTTGTGTTGTCATGATAATTCCATGGTGATCCAATACAATGGGGGAAGGGATGGTCCTATCCAACCTACTTGGCATTGAATATTAAAGATGCATGATTAAAAAATTTTGTAGAGTGGAAAATCTCTCTGGTTTGACTGAAATGTCAAAATATATTGATGACTACAATGGGGTGGAAATTTTGTTTTCATGAATCATGATGTGTACATGCCAAGTACACAACTTTATTTCTTTTCTCCCTTATCTTTTAAAGTTTCTAGTTTTCTAGGATTATGGGAAGTGGGTGATTCTCCTGATACATTAGGGTCTCATGAAAAGAATCATTAGTTTAGGGATACAAGGTTTGCTTATTTAACTCATTCTGTCAGATTGGTTGTCAAGAGATCTCTATAGAGGGAGCCATGGAGGCTACTCCTCTTTTTCTACCAGGCTGAACTCCTAATCATAGTACTGTGCAGCTTTGTCTAATATAATATAGACTTCGGACCCTAAAAGGATGATATTATTTAGTTTCTGGCAAATAACATTTGATGTTACATAAAGCACTAGGTGGCTTGGGCGCCGGACCCAGGTGAGTTTCCTATATACTTCTTAGTTACAATAATTGGTAATAAATGACAATATTATAGAAAATACTAGGCACCGCTAGACATCGGACTGGTGCCTAGCGCCTGGGCGGATTTCTTTTTTTTTTGTTACAGTGATGGTGGAGGAGATTTTTGAAAGTTAGAGGAGGTGAAGGAGGTGTTTATAGTTAGTGAAGGAGGTTGGATGGGTTCAGATGAAGTTGGGGGACGTGGAGGCTGAAGCAGAGGAAATCGCGACCAAGACCTACACAGTGTAGTTTGCAAAAGCAAAGGAGACCACGGGCCTCTACATATTCCCAAGACCTAGGTGGCCGGCCTGAGTACCGCCTAGCCTTAGGCAAGCGCCTATGAAAGGATAGACGCTTGCTTTTTAAAACATTGATAACATTACAAAATTAAAAAACAAAGTTAAAGTTTGCTAACATATGCATAGTATGCACCTAGTTTTTCATGATGACTTACGCATTACAAACCTGTTCAGGGACTATTCCCTTCCTTAAGGTGTATAGTATTAAAGTTTTTACAAAGACTAATATGCTCATCTAGTAGTTTTATAATTGAGAAATGGAAGTATTTTGTATATTGTACTACTTATGGTATCTTGATGCCCTTTTAGTTTTGGATGATACACTTTTAAGGCAGAGCACATTCTGTTTCATGTAAATGTTACTTTGAAACATTTTGAGGGATAATTGCCTATAATCGCAAAAGAGAAGTAATTTGTCCTTGTAAGCATATGTCTCATCACTTGATGCATAACTAAAGTACATGCTTCACACCTCATTTAGAGCTTCTTGAACCGCGCACTTCAGACTTTAGATAGGATGGAAGGGTAACAAATGATTTTCGAGTAAAATTAAAATGCTCCTACCTCCTCATTTCTTTTCGCCATCTCAAGGATTTCCCATTTTCTTTTTTATTCAAATTGAAAAAACAAAACAATTACCGTACTTAATCCTATCATAGGTCTTCTTCTTTTGTATGCTCTGGGTGAACATTTCTTTGCGCTCATTCAACTTTTTTTCCAACAATTCTAAATTATAGATTAATTTCTTTTCCTTGTACGTTGATGAAGTGTGATATTTATCTCTAGTATTTGGTCTTTTCTCTCTTTTGAGTTTTACCTCGTTTCTTGTTCATTTTTGTTTGGCTCTTGAATCAGTTAGCAATTGACCATTTTTTATTAAGAAACTATAACTTTAGGCCATGTGTTGTATATGTGACAATGTGGCATAAATAGGATATGTCTTATATGTGAAACTTAGTTTATTATGACTTGAACTTATCTACTTATACCACTATATATTACATGCTTATAATATTTATAAATTTTAAAGTAAAATATAATTAATTTATGAAGCTTGCACCTCATGCCTTGAAGTTTATGGCTTACTTATTAAAACAATCTAGCATCTTGCCTCGCATTTTTACGTTTTTTTAACTTGTTAGCTCATGTTGGTAATCAATGGGGAATTGAATACTGTTTTGCAGTCATATTATGGAGACTTACAATTGTAGGATCCACCAGACACGTTCTTGGAGAGTGACTCATGAGAATATTATATTTATCAAATAAAGAAAACGTAATACAACATCATTAATTTGTTGGCCAAAAGATCAAAATTGAAACAAAACTAAAATGGAGAATTGAATACACTTACTAAAATGGTTCAATGCCCTTCGCCTTGCGCTTCTGCTTTTTTAAACTTGTTGGCCCATGCTAGTAATCAATGGAGAATCAAATACTGTTTTTGCGGTCATATTATGGATCCTTAACGATGAATAGCATAGGATCTGCCAAACATGTTCTTGGAGAGTGACTCATGAGAATGCTATATTTATCAAATAAAGAAAAAAGTTGTACATCATTTAATTGTTGCCCAAAAAATCAAAATTGAAACAAAACTAAAATTCCTAATCCTAGCTAAACTAATATTTAAATAACTAAGGTTTGTTTCTGTACGGGTAGTTAGAAGCCATATTGTTTCAACTACATTTAAATTTGAATATAGTTGTCTGGTTTTGTTGTTGCAACACAAAAAGGTTGTTGCAAAAGCAAAATAAGCTAAGAATAGGAGAGTGGCAAACGTGCTCAGGTTGAAGAGTGTTCGAGCTACAGGAGTTGAAACTACATAACGATATAAATGCAATTGTTTTCCAACTACTTCTAACCTAGCACACCCTAAAATGTTCCAAAATAATCCGATATGAACTCAAATAGTATATACAAACAAACTATCTTGTCTAAATAAAGCAAATGTTTCCTAAGTTAAGATTTATTGCGATCCTAACTTATTAAGAATCGAAATTATATCTTTACTCTTATCTAAACAAACCTTACCTCAGAAGGCAATTCAAAATAACTGAAGTAGAATTTGTTCTCTATCAATATAATAGCTTTATTGTAGGAATGTGACCTCTAGATGACAGAATTTGAAGAAATTGCTAATGGAAAATTTATACCTTTCATTGTTACCTACGAAAAGTTAATTTGCTAAACTAACCTTTGTAGTTCCCGCTACATATGCTTTTCCAGAGCAACCCTCAGGACTATGAGCTTTTCAGCCTTTTTTGTTTCTTTGTCTGCATTTTTTTAACTAAATCTTTCTGTGTTGACTCGCCATTCCACATCATCTGTGGCACATACTTATTGCATCCATCCAAAGTTGGATTCTCATAATCCCCTAAACTCTTCATTTTACTTCACTTTGATAAAAACAACTATTATCCTAGCTATTTGCTCCATCACATGTCTGTCATTTGTGCATGGTTTCTGTTGAAATTAATTCTGAGGTAAACTAGACTCTATATAGACCTCTACTAATCTCTTATATTTATACTAAGAGCAAATGAACACATGTTACATATTATATGGAATATGCTAAACATATTCTTAGCATATTCCTTTATTCTTTCAATCACAGCCCTAGTATCTCTTAATCACATATTCCTAATACATTATTCCTAATATAACTATAACATTATTTATCTCCATAATATATTCATTAACACCCCCTCAAGCTAGAGCATATATGATATACATGTCCAGCTTGTTACAAACAAGATTTACTCACTTCAATTTATGATGCGACTTAAAAGACTGAAATCTTCTGTGTGGCCTTTCTTAAATATAGTTATCTTCATCTTCTAGTCTTCTACTTGAATATTTTCCTCCACGAACAACCTCAACCAAAATCACCAAATGTGATACCTCGATCTTCTTCACAAATCGACCAAATGAAACGATTCTCTCCATGGAACTACCAAACAAGCAACCCTTACCAGGGACCTACCAAGCAAATGATCCTCTCTAGGGATCCACCAAACAAAATCCTACTTTAGGGATCCACCAAACAAATGATCCTCTCAAGGATCTAATGAACAAATGACCGTTCTTGTTGATCCACCAAACAAACGGTCCTCTTCACGAAACAACCAAACTGACGGTCCTCTTCATGGATCAACCAAACAAACGATCATCTTTACGGATCAATCAAACTAACGGTCCTCTTCACGATTGAACCAACAAATGATCCTCTTCACGGATCAACCAAACAGACTCTTTATCGGTGGTCAAGGTTTCTAGAACACAAGCGGTCATGACGGTGGTGTTTAGAAGTTGAGTAGGCGGTGAATGAAGGGAAATTGAGGCGACACAGGCGGTGATGAGAACATATACATTAAGGATGACTATTGCTATCAATAATGACAATCCTAATCATCAACAAAGCCATCAAAAGCAGGACAGATAGGAATATGGGGTACTGTTCATGGTGAACAATCACCGCTCCCTATTCATGGTAACCAGTCACAAGAAAGAGAGGAGGTTGTATGTCAGAGCCAGGATTTTGATGGTGAGAGATTGAGGACCTAAGGTTTGTAAAGATCTAGGTTTGTGGAGGCTAAGGTTTGCGTGGCTTTGATACCATGTTGAAATTAATTCTAAAGGAAACCAGAGACTCGGTATAGAGCTCTTTTGATCTCTTATATTTATATTAAGAGCAAATAGACACATG